CAAATTCCAGGACAATGTGTAATATTTGCATTTCTTTTCAAACGTGTACGATGCAGGAGCAATGCCAGCCAATTCTTTTAAAAGTAAATTAGGGAATTTTTACCACCCAGTTAAACTCTCTTGAACTGCAAAGTTTATAACAGAAAGTGCCATTTATAGAACAGCATCAGCGAGAGCATGAGGAACATATTCAGCAGCCCAAATAAGTGTTTTTGGATCTGATGCTGGACCCAGGTCAAGGCAGGCTCCAGGCACATAATGCATTCGGGGTGGAAAAATGAATTGAAGAATGCACGATGTCCCAAATTACAAGCCAGAGCACCCAAAAGCACACTGAAAACCAGGGTCATTCTTGTGTATTTTTACAAGTCTTTCTGGATATGGTGGTTCAAAGAACTTGGCTTTTTTTTTAAAGGATACTGAAGCTGGGTCATCAGGACAGAAACCTTGTAAAAAGCATTGGGTTCCCTGCTAGCATTTGTGCAACAAACGCTGCTCGCCCATGACCATATCCTACAGGTTTCCAATTAAGAGAAACTCCAGTGTCATTTTGGACAAAGCAAAACTGGGGGCCAAAGCAGCCGTCCGATGTTGAGAGCCCCACCCAGCTTTCTATGGACACATGACGACGGTGCGAGAGCAAAGAATGCCACCATGGTCCCAAATGGGAGGCCTCTGGATGTCTGCTATCAGCCTACAGATCTGCCCAAACCAGTATGCTCCACAGCTCATCTGTCTGGGAGATGGGCTTCCCGTACTAATCTACTACCTAAGCCATGACCCTGACCATCAGATTTACTTGCGTAGCTAGGCGCTGTTTACCCAAGGGGCAGGTTTTCCAGCTTCTATGGTGTGTTAAGGAAATAAGTTGAAGAAATACTCTTAGTTTTAAAATCGCATTGGAGATGCAGGGAATTCCTCAGGAAAAAACATGCTATTTAAGTTTATAAGCAGAATGTAACAAAACATTAAAATATCATAACTCTAGAACTGAACTGAGCCCAGAAATTTTGGCGGATGTTTCCAACATCAACCCCCATTCTACCCCATTGTACAAGGGGAGAAAGGCAACGTGGTGTTTCTATTGTTCACTCATCCATGAAATCTTGTGGATCAAAGGGACTGGGCCTTCGCTGGGTTTGTTTCTTGGCAAACTGTTTAGAGTCCACCTGAGAGGCCTCAGAGTCCTACAGAAGTTGCTCCACCATCATCATTCGCTATCATGCTGGAAGTCACAAAGGGAAGTATTTGGGGCTACAAGGCCACCAATATGCCAACAACCTGACTTACCTCCAGGTCTTTTTCTTCTTCACCCCATTCCACTCCTAGTGGCTGATAAGTAACAAGGGATCAGGATGAAAGTAAATGAAATAAAAAGTGGCACAAAGAGAAAGGAGCTTCACTCCAAGGACCATTTTACCCAGTCACCTGTCACTGACTGTGATTTGTGATGGTTAGTGAAGGATATTTAGAGGTTTGTTTTTAGGAATGAGCTCGTAAGTAAAGTAGATATTGCATTAGAACAATGGTCCAGGGGAATGGCAAGGGTTAAACAGTTTTTAAAAGCCCGTTTGTGCCCAGGTTTCACAGTCTCAGCCTTCAAGGCAGACACTGTGTCTAAGGCCCAGGGACAAACAGGCTGGGAAATTTGCAGTGTTCCCTGAAAATCCATAACATGAA